CATACATCCACACATAAAACACACGGGGCAGGCAAACAAAACCAAAAGTAGTCTGTTTTCTTTTTGTTTTCTAGAGGAAACGGTTGTTGCTGTGAGGAGATAAATTATAGAACAAATGCCAAATGCCAAGGAGGTGACGTCAGGGAAGGCGGGGTCAGCCTTCCCAGGCACAGAATCCCTTTATTACCAAACATTTCCCTTCCTGCCTTACCTACTTCATCTCTGCAGAGACACCGCCTCCAAACATGAGGGCAGTTTTGAGACCTACAAGCTAATCATTCTTCCTTTCCATGTTTTAACCTCACCCAAGACCATGAGCTTTTTTTTTTCATGTATCACGCTGAATTATTTATATATTTACTTACAGCCTCCTCCCCTCCCCCACCCCTAAGACAGTCTTCTCGGGGTCAGCTGGAATTTGCCCTGTGAACAGGCTGACCTCGAACTCCATGCAGTCGTTCTGATTCTGTTTCCAGAGAGCTGGGACTCCAGGCAAATGCCATGTGCCAACATGCTTGCTCCCCTTTTTTAACCATTTTAATTCCAATGGACAGAGAGTTAATACTACATCCCAAGAAACACTACCTTTATTAGCTGGTTTTAAATTTTTATTTATTTGTTTGTGGTTCTGAGGAGTGAATGCAGAACCTTGAGTAAACTAAGCAAGTGTTCTACCAAAAAGTTACCACTCCATCACTTAAAAAAAAAAAAAAAAGGCTTTTAGGGACTAGAGAGATGGATGGCTCAGTGGTTAAGAGCTCATGCAGGGATTCAAGTTCAGCTCCCAGCGCCAACATCAGATGGTTCATAACTGCTTGTACATCTCTGCCCCTAAGGGATCTGGAACCCCTGTGTGAGTGTGTGTGAGTGTGTGTGTGAGTGAGTATGTGTGTGTGTGTGAGAGAGAGTATGTGTGAGTGTGTGCATGCGTGTGTGTGCATGTGTGTATGAGTGTGAATGTGTGAGAGTGTGTGCATGTGTGAGAGTGTGTGCATGTGTGAGTGTGTGTGTGAGCATGCGTGTGAGTGTGTGTGTGAATGCAGGTGCCCCAAAGGCCAGAAGCACAATCTAACTCTGATCTTCTGCAACAGCAATATACATACTCTTAACCCCAGAGACATCCATCACTGCCCTCTACTCTGTTTCTTTTAGACAAGGCCTCAGGAAACCAAGACTGTCTTGTCTCAGTCTCCTGAACAACTGGGATTACAAGTATGCATCAGTACACTCTCTTTATATTTGACTACACTAGTATAGTTATGACAAACAAATTAATTAAAAATAAAGACTGGCAGGTAACTGGGGAGGGGGGTAAAAGTGCTTACTGTGCAAATATTAGGACCAGAGTTCAAATCCCCAGCACTAGAGGCTGGAGTTATAGCTCAGTGGTTAAGAACACTGGCTGCTAATGCAGAGGATCCAGGTCAGTTCCCAGAACCCAAATGACAACTTAAAACTATATTCTGGGAGCCAGGAGGTGGTGGCGCATGCCTTTAGTTCCAGTACTCAGAGGCAGAGGCAGGCGGATCTCTGTGAGTTCGAGGCCAGCCTGGTCTATAAGAGCTAGTTCCAGGACAGCCTCCAAAGCTACAGAGAAACCCTGTCTCGAAAAAAAGAGTCTGGAAGAACAAGTACACCAAAGTATTGTCAGGCATTTTCCTCCAGAGTGGGGCTGCAGTAAGATTTACAGGACATGAAGAAGCGACAGGACTTTATTTTATAAATCTCTTTAATTTTTAAAAGGGCACGCTTTATGTTTAGTACTAAAAGTTAACAAAAGATTTTTAAATTCCTCCCTCCCTCTTCGTCTCCCTCACTGTTATTCTGAGACAGGGTTTCTCTATATAATCCTGGCTGCCCAGGCTAGGCTTGAACTCAGATCTGTATGCCTCTGCTGGGATTAAAAGTGTGCCTTACTGGGCAAGGTTTCTTGTTTCTCTGAGACAAGTTCTCTCTATGTAGACCAGGCTGGCCTCAAATTTATAGAAGGCTACCTTGACCATCCAAAGAGCTTTAAAATTTTTTGTTGTTGTTTTTTGTTTTCAAGACAGGGTTTGTCTGTGTAGCTTTGGAGCCTGTCCTAGCACTTGCTCTGTAGACCAAACTGGCTTTGAAATCAAGAGATCCACCTGCCTCTGCCTACCAAGTGTTGGGATTAAAGGTGTGCACCACCACCACCACCACCACCACCACCACCACCACCACCCGGCTGAGCTTTAAACTTTTTAACTTTATGTTTAAAAAAAAAAAAAAAAGTGCATAAACTGGATTGGAGACATAGCTCAGTAATTAAAAGCTCTGGCTGTTCTTACAAAGAAGCCAGGTTGGGTTCCCAGCATCCACATGGTAGCTCACGGTGCTTTCGGAACCCTTTCTGGGCCCCAAAGCTACCAGATACACATGTGGTATGCAGACATACCTGCACGAAAAACATACACATGCGTTAAAAAAATGCACACACTGCTTTGCATGGCAGTCCTTGCCTGTAATCCTAGGGGACTGTAGTGGGGAGGGTAGCTTGGTTTACACCGCTACAGAATAAAGTTTTAAGCCAACCAAGGTTACATAGTAAAAACAGAAAACATCCAAAAAAAAAAAAAAAAGCACACGTGAGAAAATACAAACTATCAACCTCATCTGTCCACAGCAAGATGAAGAGCAACACAGCCCCAAATTAACAAATATATGTATATGTGTATATGTATGTATGTATGTATATGAGAAATCAGTCGTGTGCCCAATCAGCCACAATATGCAAATATAACTTCCTCAGATGCTTCAGAACATTGACTTGCAAAATTTCAAAGACTTCTTTCTTCACCTAACACTATTTATTTTGTGCATGTAGAGGACAGCCTGTGGGAGTCCCCTACCATGTGGGCTCTGGGGATGGGACTTGACCTCTGCAGGCTGAGTCATCTTGACAGACTCCCCCCCCCCAAGATTTTTTTGTTTGTTTTTTGAAACAGGGTTTCTCTGTAGTTTTGGAGCCTGTCCTGGAACTCACTTTGTAGACCAGGCTGGCCTTGAACTCAGAGATCTGCCTGTCTCCGCCATCCAAGTACTCAGATTAAAGGCGTGTGCCACCACTGCCTGGCTCCCCTAAAGTCTTTCACAATTACTCCTTTTTCATTATGATCATTAGTGTATGTCTAGTACATGTGTGTGTGAGTTTGTACATATGCCGTAGTCTGTGTGTGGAGATCTGATGAGAAATTTCTGGAACGGGTGATCCTATCCTCCTATCATTGGATGCGATGTGGGGCTGGAAATCAGCTCATCAGGTTTGTATGGCAATGGCTTTTACCCACAGAGCCATCTCTCCAGCCCTCAAAGACTTCTTGACCAGTATTAGTGACAATGCAGATGTCCCCCCCATGTCCACCCAGACCTTATAACTAGGTAAGAGGCTACATCCAAGCCCCAACTCTCCTACACTTAGAAACTAAACATCAGGCTGTTTGCTTAGTTTCCAAGTTCCTTTCTAGCACGTTCAAGGCCGTAAGTTCCATCCATCACCTCCCCCCAAACAAAAACCAGAATCTAAATCTTAAAACCCCTCTCATAATCCAAAGGGAATGGAGAGCTGAGACAAGACAGTTGAGATATATTCAAATAAACCCTAAGACAGAAAGTACGTTTGTTTATTTTAGGGGGTACCCTGAAAAACTTGGATGGAAAAAGAATCAGAAACAGGGTGGGCAGCGCACGCCTTTAATCCCAGGACTCGGGAGGCAGAGGCAGGGGGGTCTCTGTGAGTTCCAGACCAGTCTGGGGTACAGAATGAGTTCTACACCAACCTGGGGTAAAGGAGGAGGCCACATCTCAAAACCCCAAAAACTTACAAACAAAAAAAAAAAAAAAGAGAGAAAGAAGGAAACTTTTATATAGTACTATATAGATATGAGGAGACTAAAGACAGATGGATTATTCCCCTTTCAAACACACACACACACACAAACACACACACACACATATATATACACACACAAATGAATTATATGATAGACCATCAGTCTATACATTATACATATTGATACATGACATAAAATAAAAAATGTTTAGAACTTTCTTTCTTTTTTTTTTTCCCCTTGTTTTTTGAGACAAGTAAGACCCACTAGGGTACTGCCCAGATAAGACCCTCGTGTTTGAGTCTCCGAAAAGGTCTCTTGAGGTCTTTTCCTACCTGCCTCCAACATTCCACCAGGTAAGCTAAACATGGATCTCTAAAGAACTACAATGCTCCGAGTGGGTAAAAAGTCTTCCTGCTAAAGTTCCTCTCCAGCATTGCATGCCACAAAACACCAAGAAACTGCCAAGGATATTCTCTGGCAAACATGGGCAAGATTGCCCATCTCTCACCAGGCTGTCTGTTCGTTCACTCAACCATAGCTTAACTTCTCAGGCAACCATGGGTTAATCATAAGGATCCTGGCTAAGTCTGGCTGTCTGCAGGCTTCCAAGCAACCGCTCAGGAGGCGAGACCCAAAGAATCACAGAGCTCTCTTCCTTAATCCCAAGGCATGTTATCTCCCCAAATTCCTCTGCCAGGATGGGTGGGGTGGGGTAGGGTCTCTAGTCCAGAAGCACGAACACTCAATTCTCAGGCTACCTGTGAGTTCAGCTATCTGGTTTGAGTAGGAAGGGCAGTGGGATGGAGGTAAGGGTAGACGAAATTAACCAAAATGATAAAATAATCTGGAGGGGAGTGAAGCCTAGGGACGCCCTGTCTGGGATGACACAGTTAGTCAAACTAACTTCATTTCACAAGATACAAACTTGCAAAGTCGGTTGTTTTTAGCCCCCCAGCCTTCTCCAGCCTCACAAACCCTGGCTCTACATTCCTGGAACTCCAGAACCAGGTGCAAAAAGGCAAAGAGGGAGGCGCTGGGAGGGGAGAGAGGGATCCAGTTCCCCTCTTAAAGGAGAACGCTAAGCCAAGGGCACTCCCGGATCCCTAGGAGAGGAAGTAGCTGGAGTCTCCAAAAGCCGGTTCCTACCTTCCTGTTGTTCTTGTTATACCCAAAAGTCGAAATCCCAGGCCTGGAAGTCACTGATAGCAGCATTTTTTCCTTACTTTTAGGGAGCTGAGCGAGAGAAAGAAGAGAGTGAAGGAAAGGGAGGGAGGGAAGAGGGAGGAAGGAGGGGAAAAGGAGAGGGAAGAGAGAGGAAGGGAGGGAAAGAGGGAGGGAAAGGGAGAAGGGAGGGGGAGGAGAAAGAGGAGAAAAGGAGCGAGCGAGCGAGAGGAGAGAGAGAGGGGGGAGAGAGAGTGAGTGAGTGGAGGGGAAGAATGAGCTGGGACTGCCTCACGTCACTGACAGAAGTTAACTGAGAGTCAGGACAAACCAGTTCCACTGGGTCCTAATGCCCAGAATGTTGTATTTGGGTTTCTTTTACATAGGGTTAGAAAGAAGAGTTAGTTCTTTCTTGGGTCTAACCCTTTTCAAACGGATCACCACTCCTCCATGAACAAGTTCCGATTATCACAAAAAGACAACTTTCCTGTCGTCCATGAAAAGACAGAGGCTTTTTGTTGTTGTTGTTTTGATTTGGAACTTTCTTTCCCGAATCTCAAGCTTGGCCTGCAAGTTGCTTAGTGGTAAAAGTTGCCAAGCCTAAGTTAGGTCCTCAGATCTACAAGGTAGAAAGAGGGGACCAACTACCCCAAACTGTTCTCTGAGCCCCCCCCCCAAGCATCCAGTGTGGCATGCCCACACATGCACATGCAAAATAAGCCACACACAACAGTTTTAAGATTTCAGTCTCCTGAAAAGCATGCAAAGAGAACTATACTGAGATGCTGTGTGAGACCAGTTTAAGTTCAAACTACTTTGTATTTAGGGTGATTTTAAGGGATTAGGATCACGCCTTTAATCCCAGCACTTGGGAAGCAGAGGCAGGAGGCTCTCTGAGTTGGAGGCCAGCTTGGTCTACAGAGCAAATTCCAGGACAACCTCCAAAGCAATACAGAGAAACCCTATCTCGAAAAACCAACAGTTTTTCTCTCAGTCCAGAAAATGGATCCTAATAAATAAATAATGACGCTGATGGAAAAGAAAGATCATGTCCCGGGAATGGGGATGGTGATGTATTGTGTAAAAGCTGTAACTGCAGCACTCGGAAGGTCACCAGAGTGGTGGTGAGGACAGCCTGCGGTGATCAGGCAGGAGGGCCAAAGTACAGGACAGCCTATGCTACACTATTTTCCTTGGATGATCGTTCAACAGTAAAGGTGCCCAAAGATCTGGATTCAATTTCTGGGACCCACGTGGTAAGGAGAGAACCCACTTTGGAAGTTGTTCTCTGATCTCCACACATGCTGTGGCATGCACACACACACACACACACACACAAACACACACACACATACACACACAGAGAAACACACACACACATACACACACAAACACACACACAAACACACACACAGAAACACACCCAATGTAACAGACGAGAACAAAGGTGAATACACCAAAGAACAGACACCAATTAAATATATGGTGGAAAAGACTTCAGAGCCTTTGTCCTGATTCTGGCTGACACTGACAGGCATTCCCTTTTAGATTTTCTCAGCAGGGACTTCATCATCAGCCAGGAGTGGAGGCTCTTGCCTTTAATCCCAGCAAAAAAGCAGCAAACAAACAAAAATCATCCATCAGAACAATTTCATAAAGCTCACTGCTTTGTGATTTTTTTTGGGGGGGGGGAACAAGTGGGAAGCCTCTTATTTTATTATTATTTTACCTTTTTTTTTTTGAAACAGGGTTTCTCAGTGTAGCCCTAGCTGTTCTGGAACTCTCTCTGTAGCCCAGGCCGGCCTCGAACTCACAGATCCATCTGCCTCTGCCTCCTGAGTGCTGGGATGAAAGGCGTGAGCGGCCACTGCCTCCTGCCCTTTTACTCTTTTTTTCTTTTTGTCAATTTTGTGACACCAGAGATCAAAACCAGAGGCTCCAGTGTCCTCTACCACTCACTAGGCTATATACAAAGCAGTATCGTCAGCCCCAGTGAAAGCCGCCTTATTTAACTTTATTTGCTGGTCTATGTAAGACAGGGTCTTGCTCGGTAGCTCTCAGACCAAAACTCAGCCCCTCCACTCCTTTGTGCAGGGTCATTAGCATCCTTTTGTGTGTTCGGTTTTGACCATTTCTTTTGGTGGTGCTAGATGACCAAGCATACTCCCAACCTTCCAGCTTACACTTGATGCTTTTTTTTTTTAAGTTAGTTTTATTTAGTTATTTATGAGTATTATGTATCACATATGCTTCTGCTACCTATGGAGCTCAGAAGAGGGCATCAGATTCCCTAGAACTGGAGCTACAGATGTTTGTGAGCCTCTGTGTGGGCGCTGGGAATCAAGCCTAGGGTCCTCTGTATTAGCTCTGAACCACTGAATAGTCTCCAGCCCTGTCTGATATTTTTGAGACAGGGTCTCAAGCAGCCCATGCTGTCAATGAATTCCACGTTGCCAGAAATGAAGAACTTCTAATCCTCCTGTCTGCTTTCCTGGGGGGCCAGGTTCTGAATTTATACCATCTTGCCCAACTCTTTGACTTTTTATTCTTTGATTTCTTAGCCCTTAAAACCCCTGAAACTTAGACAAGCAGGAAAACTCACCTGGTGTGGAGTTGAGAGCCACGCTGAATGAAGTTCACAGAGTTAGGGTGTCGTCTCTGACCTGTCAAACAAAGCAGAAGTCTTTAAAAGACATGTTTCTCTAAGGAGGAAAATATGAGACATTTTAGGGAAGAACAGAATTTAGGAGTCAAGAATCTCATGCTGCTCAGTAACACTCACCTCCAATATGCCCAAGAAAGAGCAGTTGTAACAAGAAAAAAAAAACTTACTGACACCTAGGAGGCCTACCCATCCGACCAGAACAGGGCTACTGAGCAGCTTCAGAGCCCTTCCTCGGGCCTCCCGGCTGTCCTCACACATTCCCCAGAAGTAAATTAACCATCTTTGTCAAGACGGACATTAAAGCCAGACTCTACAATGAGGCTCTGCTCTCTGGTTTTCCTGTCACTATTTTGCTGTGATAGCTGAACAGACAGTTCCAGCATTCTGCAGAGTAAATACACACATGCAGAGCTACCCCCAACTCTAACTTTCATTTACAACAGGGCAGGAAGTGGCTGCTAAACTCAAGGGACACAGGAAGGGTGGGAACAGCCTCAGTGTGGGAATTGTAACTGAGAATGGGGACGGCAGCCCAATACAGTAAATAAGTAAATAATGGCATCTCTCAGGGACACCGAATTTCTCAAGAACTTCCTTTTTCACCCTCAGAAACTTTCATTCATCATCTCCCAACTCATTCTTGTGCTTTTAGAACAGTCATCTTAAATGATATTAAGTGTTAGCTCACCATGGCCAGTTCTAGACTAGCCAGACTGTACAGTGAGACCTTGACTCAAAGAAATAAATAAATATTACAAAAAAAAAAAAAAAAAAGAAAAAATCCAGGCATGGTGGTGCATACATTTAACCCCAGAGGCAGAAAGATCTGTGAGATTGAAGCCTGCCTGGTCAACAAAACAAGTTGCAGACAGCCAGGGCTGTTATACAGAGAAACCCCATCTCAAATAATAGTAATAGTAATAACAATAATAATAATAATAACAGGGTTCTTTTCTTTTCTTTTTTGGTTTTTCCAGACAGGGTTTTTCTGTGTAGCCCTGGAAGCCCTGGAACTTGCTGTGTAGATCAGGCTGGCCTTGAACTCAGAGATCCACCTGCCTCTGCTTCCCAAGTGCTGGGATTAAAGGTGTGCATCACCACTGCCCTGTCTAATGTTTAAAAAGGAAAATTGTTTTATTTTATTTGCAGTAAAGTTTCACTATGCAGCCTCCGAATCAGTGTTATACATACTAACCAACACTAGTCAACATATTATATACATATACATAATGTTTTTTATATATGTAATCACTGTATAATATTTAGGTCAGGTTAAACATCTGTCCCTTCAAACATCCTTTGTGATGAAAACAACTTTTTTTCTGCTCTAGGGCAGGGTTTTGTTAATAATTTAGTCCTGTCCCTCAACTCACCAGCTAAATGACCCTGAAAAAAACTACCCTCACATGTCTGAAACTTAAAGTAAAAATTTACTTTTATTAGTTTGTGTCTGTGTATACACATTCCATTGTGCGCTTGTAGTCACAGAATGACTCTCAAGCTGTTCCCAGAGCTAGTTCCCTGCAGCCACCTGTGGGAGGGGGGACTGGACTCAGTCAGGTCCCAGACCCATGCACAAGCACCTCTACCTGCTAAGCTGTCATACCGATCTTCATCTTTTTTTTTTTTTTAATTAAATAGTCCCTTGTATCTCAAGATATTTTTTCATTTGTAAAATGCAGCAAATAATTACCTATTTTTTATATATATAATTACCTATTTCTTATCACTGTAAGTGAAACAAAATGAAGCCCCTGCCATGCACCTTGTTGGGATACTTAGTAAACACCCAGCTGTCTGTCCTGTCGTCCCATCGTGGTTATTACTGTCCCCTAGTGTGCATCCCTGTGAGTGCCGTGTAACCAACACTGAAGACTTTAGGAGAACACTTCGGAAAACTACTATCTTAGTCACATTCAAAAATATACCACAGGATGGCAAGATGGCTCGGCTGGTAAGGATGCTGCTCAAATCTGGAAAAACCAGAGTTCAAACCTGGAACCCACCGTGGAGAGAGATGCAACTCCCCAGAGTTATTCCCCGGTTTCCCTACATACGCCAAGACACATTTGTCCTCATTGAGGACATACACTCAATAATGATAAATTTAATTTTTTTTTTTTTGGCTTTTTGAGTCAGGGTTTCACTGTCTCAGGGACCTGTCCTGGAACTCTGTAGAGCAGGTGGCTGACCTCGAACTCAGAGATCCACGTGTCTCTGCCTCCCAAGTGTTGGGATTAAAGGAAGGCATGTACCACCACCTGGCTTGAAACTTAAAGCATCTTAAATACCAAGACTATCTAGGACTTCGGGACTAGAGGCTCACACCCTTCCTTTTAGCACTCAAGAGGACAGCCACAGTTCCAGACACACCTGATCTATACTGGAGTTCCAAGCCGGCCGGGGCTGCATAGTGAAACCCTGTTAGAAAACAAAGCCCGTTCTAGGATTGACCAAGGAGGCTCA